AAAAGAATTTCAAAATCGGTCCACAATTGCCGGAGAAATCGGAAAATATACATACAGCCAAACGTATAACCTCATCCTTTTTTTTTGAAGTCGGTTAATAAAAAGGGGACAATGTCAGAACGAACCGCAGTAGTCGCTCTGTTTTCAACCTGCCCCCCGATCTTTACCAACACATTTCACGTGGAAGTTTGTTGTAGAGCAGTTTTACATGTTCTAGTTTTCAGTTGATCAGAACAATTGGCCCGTTAATACGAACTAAACATTTCGCACACGATAGTAAATACTGTCGTAACTCAATTATTCTGGAATTCAGAAAACACGATTTGAAAGTTTAAAAAATACTGAACGAAACCTATAATACATATGTATTCTAGTTTATTAATATGGATAACTAAATATTATTGTATAAATAAAAAATAATCACATTCGCAAACAAGATTCATTCAGGTATTATTTTCTTCTTTCAAATCGTGTTTTCTTAATTCAACAATCTGGAGTTACGACAGTAATTAGTTACATGTGCGATTTATTATTATTAAAAAATTATCTCACCTTGTTGCTCCAACACAGAAACACCGAGAAATCTCTTCAAAATTCCACTAAACACAAATAAAATAACACCAACGTACACAACTCTAAAATGTACAGTGTTTTAATAGTTCCGTGTAAGTGATTTTATATAATTTTTAAGTATTTTAACGCGAAAATGTGTTTTATAAACACGGAAACAACGAACGAGCGTTCTTGGGAAAAGCAATCGATTTCTGGTGAGAGGGAAGGGATATATTCGTCTATGAGTGAAAAAGAGAGAGAGGATTAATCAAATGGGGAAAGGGAGAGAGAGAAAGGTTATAGGGTAGATTAAACGGGGCGGGCGAGTATATTATGTTTGTACAAATGCCGTGTTCTCAGTTGGATTGTAATAATACAACTGTATTACACATATTACAGAAAAATAACATGCTAGCGCGCAGGTTTGCACGTTGTAATGTAGAAGTCACAAAGTTATTTACCTTGTTCAAGGCGTACTGCCAAACTTTTCTACACATCCAGCCTGTACGATGTTATAAAAAAAGCCTGTGGGCCAAGTGTGTACTGGATGTCCTACGAATATAATATAATAACAGCTGTAGTGATGCAACGGAAACGGAAGAAAATGTCAAAAGTAAATCTTAACGGAAACAGAAGCGGATGGATTTAGTAGCAGTAGAACTCCTGGTGAAAGAGTTCGTCGTTCGAAGTACTGCCATCTTACCTATTTCTGCCGCCAAGCGGTAATATCAGCATTACTGTGTTCCGGATTTGAAGGATAAGGGTGCTTGCGAAATTACAGGCACATGGGACTTGTCAACTTACGTCTCAGAGTGACGGGCGCAGTGGTAATGCCCTTCAGATCTTTGCGATTTAAAGCTCTGAGTGGCACTGCAACTGTTATGGACAGGCGTGTCGCTTGCCATCAGGCGTATGACTTGTTCGTCCCGTCACTTGATGTTACAAAAAAAACAAAAAACACTTTTCGCCTCAACCGATATTTCTAGCTTTTTTATTCAAAAATTTATCCAGTTACTTACCTGATAGGTTAGCCACCAGCTATTCACATTTAATTTCTTAAAAACAATACTAAGTTCAGTGAAATTCCATTACAAAAGAAGGTTATTATACTGTTTAAATGAATACTCTGTGTGACAAAGTCACGAGGGGCGCTTGTCTTAGTGGGTGTTGAACCCTCTGACGGGGAAATGCTCTGCCTGTGGTACTACTGGTTAGTTATACTTCGAGAGAGATGTAGGTGATTTTGTATCGAGTTTTTTTGTGATAGCAAGGTACGGGGCGAACAAGTCGTGCGTCCGGTGGTAAGCGACACACCAACTCATAACAGTAAGACACTTCCTCAACACTCATCAACAATGCTCATATTACTGCTTGGCGGTAGAAATAGATAAGGTGGCAGTACTCTACTGCTACAATTCTATAAATCTGTACCAGTACAGGCCTGACAGTATAACCTCAGTACAGAGTATACTAAAAAAACCGACCTCAAGTCATTTATCCCCTAGTTTGCCACCCGCAAATTTAAATGGGACCACTACTGAGGTTCCTTCTTTCCAACGAAAAAAACATCAAAATCGATCGACAAATCCGAGCAATCACGTACCATATACACAAAAAACTACTCTCGTCGAACTCGTCGAAAACCTCCTGCTTTTTTAGAGTCGGTTAAAAAAGTGCTTAAAAACTTTTGTACGTTTATTCCGGTGGGATGTCGATTAGCAGGACATCATCAAGTACTTGATCGTAAGATCGCGTAATCTAACTCACACGCAACTCGCTTGGAACCACAAAAAAACAAACAGTACCACTTTATTTTAACTGCAATTTCCCAATCCCCTAAGATAACTAGAGCAGTAGAGTGATCTAAAAAAGCCCCACGAATTATGCTATTCTCAACCCTGCACCTATTAAAATAAGGGTGTACGCTGAAACTCTTTGTAAAGAGTGTAGTACTGTCGCCTTCATTATGTGCAAGCTCGTAGAAATATGCAAAATAGATTTTCATGGAAAATTTCTGTTCACAGTTTGGTTTTGTAAATATTTTAGTCGCCTCATGAAAATGATAATTTTCTCTGTCAGCAATCTTTGACCAAATGCACGGTTAATTGTTTTCTTATTCGCAAATTCACGGCGTGGCTTATTCCAGCCTGACCATAGTCGAGTTTTTTAAATTTGACTAGACAGAAAAAAGTCGCTATTTAATCGGTTCTAGTTGCAAAAAACTAAACAAAACTTAGTCACGGAACGAACCAACGGACCTCACGAATTTCTCTATGTGCTTGCGTCGTGTCTTTGTACTTGGTTTTTCAACGACTTTTTTAGTCGTAGCGCCATCTATGAGAAATCTTTGACAGATTTATCACCCAGTTAGGTACCTTTACAGCTACCAGTCCTGGCGAGAGATGTCGCTATTCACTGTATTAATTAAATTTTTATTGAATTGATATTCAATTATTTTTTGTGAAATTACTCCACTAATTTGTTATAATTATTAATACAAAGATCGAACACTCAGAAAAAACACTCAGAAAAAATTCCTTCGATCCGGTCGGATTCGAACCGACGTCTTCTTGCATACCGTGCCAGACGCTATACCAACTAAGCCACGGAACGAACCAACGGACCTCACGAATTTCTCTATGTGCTTGCGTCGTGTCTTTGTACTTGGTTTTTCAACGACTTTTTTAGTCGTAGCGCCTTAATTTAATTAAAACTTAGTCGCTCCGCCGTTCAAAAGTTATAAGGGTGTTTTACTGTCCACACTGGAATAAGCGGCATTATTTCTCTATCTCGAGAACCACAACACCTAGCTTTGATCTGATTACACTAAAAAAAGTCGTGATTTAGTCGGTTCTATTCGTAAAAAACTACATTTAGTAGTTACGCCGTTTTGAAGTTATACAGTCCACGCTAAAAAAGCTTATTCCGGCTGCACCATTTTTGAATCTCGAGAACCACAGCTCCGAGCTTAGATCTGATTGCACCCAGAAAGTTGTGAATTAGTGTATTCTAGTAGCAATTTTAGAATTAGTCGCCCCAATACATGTAGGTATACATTTACGTAGAAAAATCGTACACATAATGAAAAATGTGTATCTATATTCCGTCCTACATCTCGCAAATTTGAGTTGTCATTCTAAATAAGAAGTATACAATTTTGAAAAGAAATGCTACATTTTGCTAAGACTATTTCCTTTATTTTTTTTTTCTTTATTTTTTTCCATCATTTAAATATAAGTATTTAAATTTTGACAGCTCGAATTCTAATCAATTAGTGATGTCGTAATACGTCTCCGTTTAGATTTTTTTATAACAATCGATTTTATTTATGAAGAAGCTTAAATCATGAATGTGAGCGGGTTAAAAAAAATATTGCGTAATTGGTATCGTGATGTTGCGTTTGACAATTTGTGTACACAAGAATTAATAATTATTTATAATTTATTTAATTTCACAGGTCACAAATTTTAGCAACATGAATAATCTTCGTTACATAATCTGTTGGCTCGATAAATATCAGCTAAAGAGCATGTCGCTTCACTAAAATTAAAAAATAAGAGTCCAGGAAGGAAATGTTGCATTTTTGTCTGTGGTTGCACAATGGTTCTTTGTCCATAATTACGGAGGCATGCATTATGTCAAAAGTTAAATAAATCATTGGACGGAGGTCACTGCTCTAAATGTACTTTGTGAAATCACTCAAGATATCGTGTTCGTGTTCAGCCATATTTATTCATTTAATTAACAGCGAGCACCCCGGAGTTTTGTGAAATAAAAAACAAAATTGGAAAAAAACAAACGAATTTTGTGAAAAAAAAATAAACAAAATAAAATCATAACAGGTCCGAAAATTAAGTTAGCGTAGTGTCATTGGAGATATCAATATGGCGAAAGATCAAATCGAATTTTGTCACCTTTTGATATATGTTTAAGTATACGAGCCCTACGGTGGGTCGGGCTAGGCTTGCGGCGCGTGGTTGGGCTTAGATTACGGGGTGTGCTTATGCTCTTCAGTGGTACAGCGGTTAGTTCTATGGGCGTGAAAAAATAAAGAAACAAAAAACAAAATAAAAACAGAACAGGTCCAAAAATTAAGTTAGCGTAGTGTCATTTTGGAGATATCAATATGGCGAAAGATCAAATCGAATTTTGTCACCTTTTGATATATGTTTAAGTATACGAGCCCTACGGTGGGTCGGCCTAAGCTTGCGGTGCGTGGATGAGCTTAGATTACGGGGCGTGCTTATGCTCTTCGGTGGTACAGCGGTTAGTGCTATGGGCGTGAAAAAATAAAGAAACAAAAAACAAAATAAAAACAGAACAGGTCCAAAAATTAAGTTAGCGTAGTGTCATTGGAGATATCAATATGACGAAAGTTCAAATCTAATTTTGTCACCTTTTGATATATAAGTATATAACGCTGCACAATTAAACCACTTCTTATTTGGAATATCTTTATTGACTAAACTTAAAAATAACTTAGGAATACTTCTTCTTCACAAACGTAATTCTTCAAGAAATTCAGACAAAAATATTCGAGACTCTTGTTTTATTGTGAAACCTCCATGTGTTGTGGATGCGGAGCATCTGAAAAATAAAAGAAATAAATGAGCAAATAAACTCAATTACTAGTTTCGAGCGCTACTTCTAATCTCTGCGAGTACAGAATATGCTCACTTCGAGTATAGTGTACTCACTTCAAGTATTGTGTGTTCTCACTTCGGGTATTGATTAAGTAGCAGTAGAGCTCCTTGTGAAAGAGTTCGTCCAGGGAAGTACTGCCACCTTACCTACTTCTGCCGCCAAGCAGTAATGTCAGAATTACTGTGTTTCGGTTTCGAAGAGTAAGGGTACTGGTGGAATTACAGGCACATTGGACTTGTCAACTTAAGTCTCAGGGTGACGGGCGCAGTGGCAGTGCCCCTCTGATCTTTGTAATTTGAAGCTCTGAGTGGCACTGCAGCTGTTATGTCACTTGATGTTGTAAAATGAAAAATATATTGTGTCAGTAATTTTCAGGCATCGAGTATATAACCAGAAATAGAGACTAATTTGTTTGAAAACTATTCTGCCATCATTCCGGTGACAACTGCGCTCCGATTGGCCAGCCCGAATTCGAAACAATTGACGGGTGTCGTCAACTGTTTCACTTCAAATCGACCAGTTAAGTTGAGCTTTGCTGTAATGGACCAAAATTGCAAAATTACATATTTAATTACCGATGAAATGTGATTCCGTTTGTTTTGTAATTAGATGTTTTGCTGTTTTTCCCACACCACCGGATAGAACAGCACGGCATTGTTAGAGAAATTATCTTCATACGGAGACATACACACAGGTCAGTAGTTGGCCTGTCTATATTTCAGTGCAAACGGGAGTTGATATTTATAAGAGCTGTATCGCTAATGTGTTACCAGGAATAGATGGCCCTTATTTCGTCTCTATTTCTGGTTATACAGGGTCCGTCCCAAAAGTATCGAACATTTTTTTTGGGAGTGTTGCCGAACGGCGGGAAGCGCTCCGCTTGGCAACAGAAAGTGGTGGGGGGATCTAGCCGATACAGCGCGACCGGTCCCAGTTGGCTCCGAGCACCTGGAGCGGCAGGACGTGCGTTCGCGTAGAGCTCTAAACGACACCTCGTCGAAGTTTTTAAAAGTAGCGCGATGACGGATCCGTTAGAACAGAGGTACGCAGTGAAATTTTGTGTTCTACTCGGCAAAAATACTGTTGAAACCAACGAGATGATTAAACAGGCCTTCAAGGACAAAGCCTTGTCCGAATCCTCGGTCAGGAAGTGGCACAAGATGTTCCGTGACGGAAGGGAAGAGGTGACCGACGAAGCCCGCTCTGGTCGTCCTTCAACATCGCGGACCGACGAGAACGTTGACCGTGTGCGTCAGCTTCTCAACGAGGATCGTCGTCAAGGAGTGCGGTTGATAGCACAGACCCTCAACATCGCCAAGTCGACCGTGCATCGCATCGTGACCGAGGAGTTGCACATGCGCAAGGTGTGCGCCAAGCTGGTGCCAAAAGTGTTAACGGATGAGCAAAAGGACTTGCGGGTGCTGCGCTGTCGTGAACTGTTGGACTTGTGTGAACGTGATCCGGACTTTTTGGATACAGTGATAACAGGAGACGAGACCTGGGTATTTGAGTATGACCCGGAGACGAAGCGCATGAGTGCGGAGTGGCACACCTCGGCGTCACCCCGTCCGAAAAAGGCCCGGATGAGCAAAAGTCGAGTGAAATGCATGCTCATTGTGTTTTTTGACGTGCGCGGTGTCGTCCTCCACGAGTTCGTGCCCCAAGGACAAACTGTGAACTCCGCTTTTTACGTGGAAGTGCTCAAAAGGCTCCGGCAGAGGGTCACTCGCGTGCGGCCAGGAATGAAAGACACGTGGCGGCTGCACCATGACAATGCGCCAGCGCACACAGCCTTCATTGTTAGCAACTATCTGGCCAAAGCAGGAGTCCCGCTGGTCCCGCAGCCTCCCTACAGTCCTGACGTCGCCCCGGCAGACTTCTTCTTGTTTCCCAGCATCAAGTCGAAGCTCAAAGGCAAGCATTGGGGCACAATTAAGGACATCCAAGAAGCTACGACGAGGGCGCTGAAGGACCTACCCGTTGACGTCTTCCAGGGGGCCTTCCGGGCATGGAAAACTCGCCTACAAAAGTGCATCGATGCTGAAGGGTGTTATTTTGAAGAGTACTAATGTATGGTACCGATAAGTTCAATAAAAGTATTTTTCCTGAAAAATGTTCGATACTTTTGGGACGGACCAGATATACTCGATGTTTTCAGGTAAGCTTTTTGTGCTCAATTTTTATTATTCAATTACTCGAATATATCATCGTGAAATATTAAACAATATTTCAGGTTACCACACGCGAATATTAAATAATACTTCATGATGATATTCTACAAATATTTAAATAAAAATAAATTGTCACCAAAATTTAGTACTTACCTGAAAATTATCCGTGTATTGATTTTGAGTACAGTGTGAATGAATTTGGAATACCTTGCTTACTCGATTAAAGTACACTGACTTAAAATATACATATATAGTATACAAAAAAATCTACCTTTTATATGTTCAGTTATTATTAATTCCTAAATCAGACAAAGTATTACTTAATTAACATAATATATCGAGTTCTTATAGTGATCTAACCTTGAACTCAATCCTAATATAATGCGTACTCAATTTGAGTATAATACTCAGCTCGAGCAAAGTAGTACACACTTTGAATAGTATATACACGACTTTCACCATAATTTAAACAGGCATAATTAATTGTTATTCAATGTATTTACCTCCTCCGCCGTCATTGAACATGAATTCATCCTGGTATTCCTTTAGGAACTGCTCGGAACGATGCTCGTCTAGGAACAATGAGTACACCTTCTTCACGTCCTCCATGCTTACCTGTATTACAACAATAATATAAAATTATTATGTAGCAGTCTGATTTATGCATTGACTTACAATTATATGGAAGTCGGGTCCGCGCTAAAAAGTGTCCGAACTTATAGGGCGTTAATATCGTATACAGAGCGTCATTCACGCTTTAGCCTTCGTTTATTCGACTGACAGCGAAGCAAGCAAATTTAGACAGTACTGCGATAACATTACACTTTAAATTCAACGTTTTAGCTTTTTCATATTCCTTTACATGTCACTACGTTTAAATAGGTTGACTTGGGACATTTTTTTCGTGGTTTGTGTATTAGACCCGTCGTCCATTTATTTGTAAGTCAATGGATTTATGTTAAAATCAGGCAGAAAGGATCAATTGTACGGACAACGGCACACCAGACTACACATTTTTGTTCGAAAATCGCCTCCAGTGCAACGGAACAAGATACGTCAATGTGTAGCTTGTTGTGCTGGCGTGTGTACATCTGTCTCTAAAATATTTCAGGTAAGTTTTCATAGCAGTAGAGCTCCTTGTGAAAGAGTTCGTCTAGGGAAGTACTGCCAGCTTACCTATTTCTGCCGTGAAGCAGCGATGTGACCATTACTGCGTTTCGTTTTGAAAGGGTAAGAGTGCTGGTGACATTACAGGCACATGGGACTAGTCAACTTATGTCTCAGGGCGACGGGTGCGGTGGCAGTGCCCCTCAGATCTTTGAAATTTAAAACTTTGAGTGGCACTGCAACTGTCACGGACAGGCGCGTCGCTTACCACCAGGCGCACGACTTGTTCGTTACGTCACTTGTTATCATGAATAAGCCGCCTTCTTCAGTCGGCAGTCTGATCAAAACTGCTCTTAACGTCTTTTGTTACAAAGAAGTCTTGTCTTTGTTGTCAGTTGGTCCGCTGGTCATCCATGGAGCCTGGATAAGGCATTCAGCCTTTCTGATCTGTTCCGAGACTGGGACAGCATTTGTCGGTGCCAACCTACCTTACCTCGTCACGGGGGGCCTCGAATAATTAAATAGAACGATCGGTTAACGTGAATTTTATTGTAGCAGTAAAGAAAGAGATGGTGCAGGAAGGGAAAAGGGCCTGTCATCATCATCGTCATTCGGCCATAAGACGCCCATTGCTGGGCATAGGCCTCCCCCAACGATCTCCACGACGATCGGTCCTACGCTGCCCGCATCCATCGGCTTCCCGCCCGCGACCTTTACGCGCCCGCCTACCCACTGAGCGTCGTCCGGTGCGCGGTCGTCATTGAAGAACCTTCCCGCACTGACGGTCATCGGTTTTCCTAACTATGTGCCCCACCCACTGCCACTTCAGCTGAGCAATTCTTCGAGCTGTGTCGGTTACATTACTTCTCCGAGCATCGCTCTCTCCATTGCCCGCTGAGTGACCTTGAGCCTTCTTATGAGGACCATAGGGCCTGTATTTTCTACAAATATTATGCTTTACAAGCAGTTAGGTTACATGATTTCTAATGGTATATGGTCTGAATTTTAAGTGAAATCGAGCACGTGTGCTCGCTTCAGAAATTTAGTAGAGAGTGGCGACAGAAAGAAGAAAAGTAAGAGTGACGAAGGAAAGGAATTAAAAAACAATTCGAAATTTCAGAGTAAGTGGAAAAGGAACCAGAGAAAAGGGTGATAAAAACATGGAATAACGGTGGAGGAGGTCTCATCATCACAGCCTACCGTATACCTTGCTGACATTACAAGTAACAGGTTACTTGATATCATAAAAACAAAGACTCCTAAGAAAGATTCGTCCTGACGAACAAGGTGCGCCTGCTGTTAAGCGACACGCTTGTCCATAGTTGCAGCGCCATTTTAAATCGCAAAGATCTGAAAAGCACTGCCATTGCACGCGTCACCCTGAGACATAAGTTGACAAGTTTCCATGTGCCTGTAATTTCACCAGCACCCTTACCCTTTAATACCGGAACGCAGTAAAGCTCACATTACTGCTTGGCAACTAGTACTTAACTGGAAGAAATCTCACAAACTCTACTGCTATCAAAAGTTTGAAGTCACGAACAGGATCACATGGAGTTTCATTCAAGCCGCAGCTCCCAACTTTGGGGGATGCTGGGAACGGTTGGTACGGACTGAAAGTGGCATTAAAAAGTAGACTACAGTTAATTTAACAATTCAGTCTAATTCTGAACCTCCTTTTTTCCAAGTCGGTTAAAATACGCGGTATGACGACTGTATGGAGTTATATAACTCACCTCAGTGGCCTTTCTGCGTTTGGAGACAAGCGAAGCCGTGGTGATTAGTTGTATGGCATATCGTAGAGATGTTTCTGTAGCTACTCTTGTCAAAACTGTCAAAGCGTCCGCTGACATTTGACAGTCCTCTTCTTCGCACCTGTTGTTATACGTAATGTTATCGCATTTATTATTATGCTTTGTGGAAATAATGAAGGTTCTTAAAGACGAGTACGTGTTTAGGCCACGAGGCTTTGCCGAGTGACCTAAGTAATAGGTACGAGATCGTAAGACCTAATTATGTAATGATTGCACACAATACTTTTTCTACGAGTAAATAAAATAACGAAACACAACCATTATTTAATGTCATCGAGTATATAACCAGAAATAGAGATGAAATGTCATTTAATTTGTTTGGAAACCATTCTGCCAAATCATTACGGTGACAACTGCGCTCCGATTGGCCAGCCCCAATTCGAAACAATTTCACTTCAAATCGACCAGTTTAACTTGAGCTTTGCTGTAATGGACGAAAATTGAACAATTACATATTTAATAACAGACGAAATGTGATTCCGTTTGTTCTGTAATTATATGTTTTTTTTTCACATCACCGAATGGAATAGCTCCTCATTGTTTGAGATATTATCTTTATTACAATAAATACAGAATATTTTTGGAATATACGGAGACATACACACAGGTCAGTTGTTGGCGCTGTACTATTTCAGCTTTCTAATTTGTGATTTCAGTGCAAACGAGAGTTGATATTTAAATGGATGGATAGATGGCCCTTATTTCGTCTCTATTTCTGGTCATATACTAGATGCATTATAGTAGAAAGAGGTGAACTAATGACATTTTGCGTTATTGTCAGCTCCTCCATTCAGAGAAAACTGCCACTGCGCCCCTGAGACAAGTTACAGAGAACACTTTTCAAATGGTGCCCTAGAAAGATTTCTTTGTCTAGCAAGTGCTGAGGCATATATACCATATATTATACGAGGCATATGATAATGTTGTCAAAAACTTGTGAAGAAATAAACGGCAATTAATTTCATCCATCCATTCGTTCATTTTCTAGACCAAGATCTACTAAAAGAAGATAATCTTCTTTCACCATTCACCTTACTCACCTTATATTAAGTATCTCGCGAAGCTCACTGTGGCTGTACGGCGAAGTGGGCACGATGATCATTCTGTCCAGAAGGTCCAATGGTATCCCATGGGGTGATTTGTAGTTGGTGCCACGGATACGCGTGATACCTGGATTACCATCACATCAAAACTTGTTCGAACCAAGTAACTTAACCAGGGCTATCTGTATGCTCAGGTATTTTATTTATTTATTCAGCATTGCCAACAAAGTAAATAATTAATAATTAACAGGTAATTGCAACTTCGTTTATAGGCATCCACAGCATGCATTTATATATTATTTTACAAAAAAATCTTCAATCATAATTTGGGAAAAAAATTTCGTCTACGCCGTTTTTCGATATAGCGTTTTTTATGTAAAACGGCTGTTGAAAAAAATGGCTTTGCTCGGGTTCAGCGCAAGCAAAACCAGTTTCCAACATGGCTGCCATACAAACTTTTTTGGCGGTAGATAAAAATTTGATATGATTCGACTGAAAATAGTATGGCTCCAACATTGACTTACAAATAAATGGACGACGGGTCTAATAGAAAAACCACGAAAAAAATGTCCCAAGTCAACCTATTCAAAACGTAGTGACATTTCAAGGAATATGAAAAAGCTAAAACGTTGAATTTAAATTATAATGTCATCGCAGTACTGTCTAATTTTGCTTGCTTCGCTGTCAGTCGAACAAACGAAGACTAGAGCGTGAATGACGCTCTGTATACGATTTTAACGCCCTATAAGTTCGGACACTTTTTAGCGCGGACCCGACGTCCATATAATTGTAAGTCAATGTATTCGAGTGAAAATAGTATGGCTCCAATCACAATTTGGGGTAAAAATTTTGTTTCCGCCGCTTTTCGATACACCGGTCTGTTTTTTTTTTATGTAAAATGGCTGTTGAAAAAACTGGCTTTGCTCGGGTTCAGTCCAAGCAAAACTAATTTCCAATATAGCTGCCATACAGACTTTTTTAGCGGCAGGTAAAAATTTGCTATAATTAGACTGAAAATGGCATGGCTTCAATCACAATTTGAGTTAAAAAAACTTGCTTTGCTCGAGATGTGAGATGAGATGATGGTTTGTGTCAATTTTACAAAAACATTTCTAGGATTGCCTGATAATAATTTGCTGTCAAAATATATTTTGCGTTCCGTGACTTAGTTGGTATAGCGTCTGGCACGGTATGCAAGAAGACGTCGGTTCGAATCCGACCGGATCGAAGGAATTTTTTCTGAGTGTTCGATCTTTGTATTAATAATTATAACAAACTAGTGGAGTAATTTCACAAAAAATAATTGAATATCAATTCAATAAAAATTTAATTAATACAGTGAATAGAGACATCTCTCGCCAGGACTGGTAGCTGTAAAGGTACTAACTGGGTGATAAATCTGTCATAGATTTCTAATAGATGACGCTACGACTAAAAAGTCGTTGAAAGACCAAGTACAAAGACACGACGCAAGCACATAAAAAAATTCGTGAGGTCCGTTGGTTCGTTCCGTGGCTTAGTTGGTATAGCGTCTGGCACGGTATGCAAGAAGACGTCGGTTCGAATCCGACCGGATCGAAGGAATTTTTTCTGAGTGTTTTTTTCTGAGTGTTCGATCTTTGTATTAATAATTATATTTAGCATTTTTTAAATATGGCCGCCATTAAAGCGCCTATTTATTTTTTCAAAACAAAGTCATTAGTTCGGAAGCCGTAAGCCGAGGTCCAGCGGAGGGCGAAGCCCAAAAGCCGGGAAACGCTTTAAAGGCAGCCCCCACTCAGTCCAAGCGTATTCTCTTGGAACATTACCTTATATAT